AGAAAAAGAGAGAAACAGAGAGAGAGAGAGAGAGAGAGAGAGAGAGAGAGAGAGAGAGAGAGAGAGAGAGAGACATTGAATAAAATTGTAGACTGCTAATTGTCGCAGACGTATCATGTGTTAATTTTCATGTCATGATAACTTCGCACGTTAAAGTGGAATTTCTCAAACTTGTTTCTTTTTGTCATCATATAAAGTCCAAAGTAATAAGAATGTCTAGAATTAGATACGAATGTTATTAGTGACTAGACATTGGTACTTCTACTTTATTACTCGGCGATATGAATATCGCCGAATGCTAATCGCCAAAGAACTAAACTATGTATCAGAGGCTCGGAAGATTACACACCTAATTAAGAAAAGGTTACACACTTAATTAAGAGAAAGATAAGGTCTGTAGGAATCATGCGCGTTTGATATTAGTGCGAATAAGTTTAAATGGGAGGATAATAATGTTCGACAGTGTTAGACACACTCACCGAATATCTTTTCGGTCTTATAACGCACGCGGTAAATCAAACCTGTCACGTCAAACTATCCCTGAATCCCAATTATCATTATTTAGTTAAATCCCTCCTTCAAAATTTCCAAAATGCGCTTTCTTCTTTTTAATTTCTATTTAAAATTATTAGTTTCTAAACTTTTTTTAATCATGTCGGTATACGGCCACGCGTACACTGCTTCATCATATCTCTTTTAGCATTTCTTTCAGCGTCTATATATAAGATAGTACGACGCGGTCCTTGAGGATTTATTGGAAGCTTAATATAAGCTCATGTAAAAGTCGAAACAGATGTGTGTATGTGTATTCTAAGAAGAGAGCTAGCCGCGCCGATCAGAACGGTGTATAATCGCTGTTTACTTAGTTTTTCTGATTTCTCGAGGTGCCGATTTCCTTTCCGAGGTGTGATTTTATCTGCGCGCAGCATATGTCGTTATATTTGCAGTGAACGAAACTCCGCTTATCAAATCTACAACGTGAAATATGCGGCACCGCGGTGAAAGTTCGTTCACCGCGTGCGAGCCACGTGGCGTCGATGCTTCATTGTGTATAAATGTGGCAGTGCCGAATGCTCCCGGAATAGATGCGTCATCCGTGTCGGCAGTGACGTAGCGCGCGCGGCTAACGCGAAATCGAACGCGTCGCAAAAATGCAGTCAGATGTGACGCGTACTGGCATCACTTGCGACGAGTCATCGCGCTAGTATTCTCGGAGTCTTAAGTGTCTCGCAAGTAGCGGTACATACGTAACGATTTGACGTCCTGCTAAAAAAAAGACGCCATTCAATATGTCGTTCTCTTCTTTGAACATCTTTTCGACACGCTAATCGCATTTAAATACTTAACTGGAATATTCCACACCACTGAAATTCGAAATTTAACCTTTTGAATTCCGGTATTTTATTTTGGAAATTTAACGTTATTTTAATAGAAGGGTCGCGGATAAGTACAAATAATATTTCAATGAGAAATAGAATATGATGAAAAAATAGAAACGAATTTTTTTTCAAATAAGATGAACTATATTTAAAATCTCTTTTTGTTGGTAATCCTATTTTGTAATTTTATTTTAAGGATTGGTGTGATTAATTATGTCTTAAACGCTTCATATATTTTTAAATTTGTTTAAATACGGAAAAATTAAATTTTATTATGAGCAAGTAGTAATTAAATAAAATTTAAAATTATTAAAAAAAATGAGAACTATATTTTTAAGATACTTGTATTTAAGATCCGGTTTATTTTGAAAATTTAATGCTATTTCAATAGAGGAATGCTAGATATGTATTAATAATAATGTGTCAAGAGTTCCATTTTAAAATAGAAAAAAATAAAAATTATTATTTTCTTCAAAATATGTGAACTATCACTTGATAGCTGGCGAAAGCGACTTATTAAACACAACGTGAATAGATAAATGAAAAAATTTTATTTCCAGAAGTGCATGTTGTATCCTTAAAGATAGGTCGGGACTCAAAGAGTTGAGTCTCGAGATTCTCGGGATTTGTAATTTATATGAAAATTTGAAAGAGAAGAACGGAGAGAAAGCGACTATTGCGTCGCAAAATAAGGGAAACTCGGACTAGATGATCTATATTTATAATTTCGAAGTTACAACTTCTCAGACAACTAATTGTGACTGATATAAACATGATAGAAGCAACCTCCTTCTGTGTATTAATACTCGCCACGATTTTGTTGACTGTGTATGTATTTTGTTTTGTAATAATCAAAATACGAACATGCAACAACGTGGCCATCTGTATCGGATTCAGTTGTCCAATTAGTGCGGAGTAAAGAAGGCCACATATAAAATACGTATCCTGATTAATAATTCTGGGATCTCCACAACTTTCCTGCTGGCCCTTAATTATGAGCCAACTTCACTTCGTCCGTCCATATGCTTAATTTCAAATAATTTATGAATGAAAATTGCTTTTATTATCCGAAACAATATATCATATACTCTCAACACATTTGATTCTAACTGTTAACATGTCGCTCAACTTTATTCACTCACAATGAAGAATATTAATATAAAATTTCGAGGGGCACGACAATTTGCTGTTACCATTAATTTACATTAATTTTTTCGATTTCTTAACTGTAATATTATTCCGATTTTAATGAAACTCGGGAAAAAGTATTTATGTTCTAAAAGGATCATTTTGCAATTCTATATTCATTATTCTTCTCAAAATAAATACTAAAAGAAGCATATAAGCAATATACTCCTGAGGCTATTTAGCTCCGGTCTTTCCCAATCTTTGAACAAGGAGAAGGCAGAAAAAGCGCCTATTGCGTCGGGAAATAATAATCATGTATTTGTACGCGCAATCACAGATGCAATCTCATGAGTGAAAGTAATATATTGTCGCTATCACGACGAAAGAACGTTTCAGATAGTTCAGTCTAGAAACCCTATAATAAGAGTCTGGCCATCGGAGGAATTCTGGCAAAATTCTACGAGAGAGAAATATATATATTAGAGACTCTCTAGGAAATATATATATCTTTCTCTCTCGAAGAATTTTGCCAGAATGGTTGCGTTCAGCAGAGAAAGTTGCTTTGCAACTGTTGTAAAATTCGTGAATCTGATTGGAGGATGCTCTTAATTTTGGTTAAATCCAAGAGCATGTACCAATCAAATTCACGAATTTTACACAGCGAATTTTGCAAAGCACCTTTCTCTGCTGAACGCAATTCCTCTGATGGCCAGACTCTTATTATAGGGTCTCTGGTGCAGTTGTGCTTGGGGCGCGTTGGCGACACAGCACGGCACTGCGGCGCGTGCGTGCGGTGTGGTGGGGTGCGGTGCATGTGCCGGTTGCCGGCTCCGCGCTCACACTTCCGAGCCGTGTAAGTAAAGGGGATTTGTGCGACGAGCCGTCAGTTGGAATCGGGATTTCGCGTGGCCCGGACGGCTCGAGCGAGCGGCGTGCGATTCTCCAGTCCCTGCGAAGTCGGTCGTTGCCGACGGCACGTGGTGCTCGCGACACACACACACTCGACGTGCACTATCGGAGTCTGCTGAGTGATTCCGACGCGCCGGGTGAAGGAGGAAGAGAAGTCAAAGGAGGAGGAGAAAGACATCACACGAGAGATCCGTGAAAGGCCTCTCAGCCGGCGCCTCTCGCCTCCTCAACACGATGATCGTCGCGCTTGCGGAAAGCTCGCGAGCAGGCTAGAAGTTGACACGTTTGACACGTGTCCAGCGGCGACAGGAGCGACAGGGACACGCGTATCTGATAGTGCGAGAGATCATGAGGAAATCTGCAGACCGCAACGTCCGGACATCCTACTTCTAACAGACGTTCCTCTTCCCAAGTTCAACGCGAAAAGGTAAACAAGAAAAAGCACAGGTTTGTGAGCTGCGTTCTCGTCGTGTTCGATGCTTCGATGCTTATTTACTCGCCACCTCCCCTTCGCATCCAAGATCACTCCCGTGCGAAGGGGAGATGTTGCAAGGGCAGTCTAAAGGTATCTAAATTGTAACGCGACTGCGCTTTCTCTCTCTCTTGCTTTCTCTTGCTCTCGCCCGCTCGCTCTCTGTTTCTGTTCTAACGGCTGCCCCGCAGCTGTCCGTGAGGCCGAACGTTGGGTTAATGCTCGACGACGACACACGGAACCGACGGCCAGTGTCCGGACAGACGCGTTTAGCATTGAACACGCGGCGAGAATGCGGTCCCTCGAGTTCGCCGGGGCGGAGCGCGCCGCCTCCGACGAAACGAGCCGGTCGCGTGCGAGAGCGAAGCGTGGAACAGGGCCGGTGCGAAACAGCCTGGGGCCTTCCGCCACGGCCGTCTCCTGATCTCTGGTCCTCTCCATCGCGGTCCAATCTTGGCATTGTCAGCCGAGACAACTTTGCCATAATGCGAAAGACTGTGCGATTTCTTCAATCGCCAGACCTCTTTCCGAGTCGTAAAGCCGTAAGTCTGATAGACAAGTCGACTAAGTCACAGTTGATTATTTTTGAAAATAGTGATTGGACTGTGATTGGTCAATTTGCCTATGGCTTATTATTAATAGTTTATTGTGGAAGGCCTACGAGTCTACGATAGGTGTAGTAAGGCCTATAATTTCTGGCAAAAAATATCTTCTGCATTGCCTTTACAATTGAAATCTAGCTGACTCCCTTGAAACTTGGGGATTATGACTTCAGTAGAAAACGTTTGCAATCAAAAATTATGCCGCAGTTTTGGGCTTAGAGCATACAGCTAAAGGCTTGCTACATCTATTGTACTACACCCGAATTAGAGCAAAGATCGCCTTTCGCCACGACCTCGTACCGGCCCTGCGTACAAACACTCGTATTCGTAATAAAGGCCACGGCACCGTTCGCGATCGGCCGGCGTTGCTAAGCGCGCCGGCAATTTTTCAAAGTCCGCCTGTCTCTTCCCCGTTTCACGAAGAGACCTCGGGCGAAAGCACACTTTCATCGCTCCGCCTCGTGTCTCGTCTTCAGACTTTTTTTTCCTGTTCGCAGTGACACTTCCCCAGATAGGCATATCTCAACGTATTGTCTGTTTCTGCACGGAGAGAATACTACAGCTTCCTTCATGTCGGTTCTTTTCACTATGTTTTACTATGTTTTTAGTAGTCCACACAGGAATAGACTGTCAGTAAAATCCATTTTGCTAAGGAACTAATATAATGAATTCCTGCCAAAAACTTAACATATTTCGCTAGAAATATAGCGAGTATCTCTTGATAGTACATTTTAGTTCCCAAAATATCTATAAATGGTGAAATGAGAGCATAGTGAATTACTGCAGAATATGTTGATCTGTTTTTCGGTTATACACTGAGATAAAAAAATTAACAAACCCGAATATTTTCGATCAAATTCCGATAAATTTTTATATCAATCAAGGTATCTGATTAAATTTTATCGCGTACTTCCGATCATAATGGCATTTAATTAGATAAACCGATCAGAAAATTATGAACCGATATTTCTCATCGGGTACAAAAATGCATCGGTATTTTGATCGGAAATATTAGTTTGTTAATTTTTTATTGGACAATTTCTCTTAGTGTAAAATAACCTATAAGATTTTACTATAAAATTCTCTTTTCATATGTGCTTAACATAAGTATATAGTGATTAACATAAGTATACTAAGGTACGTCCTCATGCAAGTTTTTTTTTTTGGTATATAGGATGTCTTACACAAAAAATGTCTCATACCTCGTGTCTGTACATGTAGATTAGATCAGACAACGCAAAACTCCTCTACCGTTCTGCAAACGAACACGTAAAAATTTGAGTTCTTAATGGAAAAATTGGCGAATGATCACGCACGATACGGCAGATGAGTTGTGATAGCGACGCCTATGTTTGTAGATCATATTGAACTGAACGAAAAAATCCTCTAGCATTTTGCAAATAACTGCGTAAATTTTTAGTTATTAATTAAAAAAATTGCTACACTATCGTACGCGCGATCACTCGTCAATCTTCTTTAATTAATAACTGAAAATTTTACATGGTTGTCTGCAAAAAATAGGAGAATTTTGCATTTAGTCAGAACTAATCTACTACGTACACGAGGTACAGATACTTTGTGTCAGATATCTTGTAAAGGAAAGCAATCTAATGCCGTGAAATTTACCGCATATTTTGCCGGAAAGAGAACGCAATTAGTCCGGAATTATTGCTAATAAAAAGTAGATATTTTGATGAAAGTTACGGCGTAATAAATGGGTATTTCTTATAACAATTTCTTACTTATATTTTAAACACGTTTTACTGTCACAATAGCATCATAAAGTGTGCATTAAATGTATGCTACGTGCAACATCTCTGGGTCTATCTGGGTTGATGTGACGTGGACGTGGATTTTCGCTTTTAAGAGAGAGACGGGAGATTTTTGAGGATATCGAGGTCGTAGATTCTGGAATGGGCGAAATGAACCTCCGTTTGCCTTTTACTTCGTCTCGCCGATCGACTTTATCGAAGTATCTCGTGCTGTAGACTCCATGTCTCGTGAGACAAAGTGCGACGCTCGAAGGAGCAGAACGCGGCCTTCGATCGTGGCGCCGAGACAAAAGAGCAAATCGAAAGTATGTAAAATTATTTTGCAGGGCGTGCGGCCTTCGTTCATGAAAGCAAGATCGAAAGAGTCGAGCGAAAAGCCATTAAAATTAAAATCGTCTCGCGAAATACAATATCAGCTTTCTATTGTACTGAGTTGGTACAAAAAGTTTGTCATTATTTGTCAGTAAAAATCGAAGACACAATTATTCATTTTCGAAAAATTGATCATTTTTTCGAGTAAAATGAAAAACATCGACCCGGTATTTTTTAGATGTCTAAAAGGAACTTCTTTTTTTTAATTTCTGATCTCTTGTCACAATTGGCGACGGAAACCAGTTCGATCGATGACGTCAGAAGTAAGAACACACACGGAAAAATACATATTGCATTCAAGTAAATATTACTTATTTCAAGTATTTTCTATATCCGCAAATCTCTATTGTGAGTTTATCATAAGCATCAAATTTACTTAAAATGCATTCTGTATCCTAAGTAAGTTTAGCATTTCAATCAAGATTATTAAAACAAAAATTCGATTTGTCAAGTTTCGAGCAAGAGACTTCTCTTTGGAAGATGTTTCACGTTTAGAAAAATCTTTCTTTGTTGATGGTGACTAAATTGCCACCTCCGCAAAACCGACTCAATTTTACACAAATTATAGTAATGAAGTTACCTAGAAGATAGCTCGATATTGCTAAAAAAAGTGGTGCGTACCACTTAGCAATAAGCTAAGCTCGCGTAAAACTTTTCCTATATATTATATTTAATTTAAAGAACTGAAATATAATGAAAAACCGTCTTATTTTACATTTTTACTTTACACTTTGATACTTCTCTGATACAGTATGATCAAAAACGTCCTAATTTATCTTTTTTTGTTATATTAGGCAATTAAAATGGCTCAACAGTGTTTAAACCTCATATTTCTACCAACTAACCTTTTTTAGTACATAAACGGAAAGTCCTCGTTCATTAGTTTGCGAGTAATTAAAAATTAAAAATCAAGTGAAGTTGAAAATGACTCCATATATGGCAGATTAGAGTGAACAGAAAAATGACAAATTTTTTGTACCAACCTAATAGAAGTGAACTCGGACGAATACCATGATGATCTGCGGTTAATTTGGTATTTCGAAATGGACCTGCGACTCGAGATGACGAGGTCAAAATATAAAAGGATCAAAGGATCACCTTCCGGCGAGAGGTAAACGCCACTCTGTGTTAATCTTCCTTTAGAGAAACACTCTGTGTGTCTCTCTCTCTCTCTCTTTTTCTAGAGAATAACCTGTTTAACATTTCCTCGAAATCTTTTGAGTCTTCACGATCAATATATCACCGGGAGTTTAATTCTACAAGATTAGTTCTTATTCATGCTATAATGGTCCTTCGGACAGGTTATTCCGAAAGAAATGTTCTCCGGACGAAGTTGAAATTCCAAGAACCACTCTGTTTATTCTTAACAAAGACATGATCCAAGCTATGAACGATTTTATGTCGAGGATGTAAAATATTTAGACATCGATCACCCCGAACAAAAAAATGCGTGGAGGAAGTAAATTTTCGTTACTTTATTGATTAATAAATTGTGAGTCGTCTATTTTGAAAAAATAACTCAGACAACACAATTTACTGAAAGAGGTCTTAAAAATATCCAAAAGACGTCTTATTTCCTTTCGACGTCTTTGGAACGTCTTTAAGGCGCCTTTTAGTAATTTATGCTGTCTGGGTAAGGTATTTCCTTTATATTCATGATATATTATACGTGACAGGACGTGTTGGCTACGCTGAAAGAAAAGTCTTGGATAGTTGACAAATGCATTTGGTTGAGCGTTTCGATATAACATTTGGTAATTAGAATTGGCAATGGTCATTAAGTTTTAGCAACAGATATCAAGATTGTTAATACTTACCAAATTCTTTAATTATATTCGGCTCTATGTGTAATTGAAACTATTTCACCAAAGTATCACATCAGATGTGACTATTATCCAGATGGTCATTACCAATCCTTTTTCTGCTCGCAACGCTTCGCTGCGTGCAATGAGTACTTCCGTAAAAAAAGAGAAAAAACGCAAACGGATGCGTCTACGGGGACCACGCGACCGTCGTCCGTTGCCGCGAGGTCGTTTCACCGTAAAAATCTACCCGACTCCGACTCTTCTCGCGTTCAATCCCCTCGCAAGAATTTATCCCCGACGCGTTCTATTAGTTGATAAGACAAAGACGCAAAACGACGTGTTAACGAACTGTTGTATCTTAATTTCGTGATGGACCGTTGATATTCTCACGGCTCGAGCTCTCG